CTCCTACAAAGATTGTTTGCGGGGCGGCCCATTCTCCTTTCTCATATCTAAATAAAGAAAATATTTTTGGAAATGTTTGTTGTTTCAATTAGAAAAAAAAATCGAGTATTGTCTGCCTATAATTAGAAGTCCTTAATGCCATTTCAATTGCATTACAATTGTAAAATATTATAAGACCGTCGAATTTCTTACTTTAATTTTTAAATTTTCTTATTCACAAATTCACAAAATGTTTTTAAACAAAAAAAAATTCTCATATTATTTGTAATTTGTATTTAAATTTGTAACAAGGTTTTTTTGTTGTTGCATTTTTTTATTCTGATTTTATTTGCCAAAAATAAAATCAAAAAAAAAAAGAAGACAAACTTTTAAAAGTCCTTTAAACTTAAACAAAAGTCCTTCTGTTTTTTTTTTTATTTATAGCCAAAAATAAATTTTTTTTTTTATTTTAATATTTCTTTTTATACTTTTATATTTTTAAGTACAAATTGTATAGTTTTATGACATAAATTTTAAAAAATTACATAGGATAACGAGAATAGGTAGAGTTGACCGTCCCAACACAATGATACCCGTACAAATGAATGATTTTAAACAATGTAATGGCAAATTAGAAGTACAAACGGTAATGCAAATTTATAATATTCTTTGAACATACGTTCGTACAAGAATAAAAAAACTTGCAGCCCTAGTGACGAGTGGACATATTATATGTATTTAAATTCAATTGGTACAGCACATCAAATTATTGATTTATTTCAATAAATAACATATTTCTAATTTTCCAAGCTATTGTGTATAATTAACAAGAAATGATCCTTATAATGCTTTACAATAATTATTTTATACATCAATATTTCCAATTAAACCAAATGCCCCATTCTTCAATATTACTAATTCCCTCCAATTCATTGTAAAATTGTTTCCTACTTCAATAACATTTTACGATAATGTTTTTATCTTCAACCCTTTTTTTATATTATCAGAAATTAATTGTTATCGTACTTAATTTCAACTATATAATTAAATATTGCAAAATATTAAGGTAATCATGTAATGAAAATTCAATTTAAATTTTGTTATACTCAATAAATAAATGTGAATAGAAGAAAATTGTAAACTAAATTAGTTTCAGTGGTTAACAAGTTTTGAAAGACAAAAACCCAAAAAAAAAAATAATAATAAATTGTATTTTATTTATTTTTTTTTTTCTTTTCTCGTTACTACACCCGAAAATTTGTTGCTTTCCTTCTTTGATTATGCAGCAGATTGCATGCATAAATGTCAAATAAATTTATTTTCCAAAGTGTAAAAGAAAAAACAAAGAAATCCAAACTCTAGTCTCTACAATACTTGTTAAGTTGGAAAGAACAAAAAAAAAACGAGAATAACCAAAACGAAAACAACACCAAGACCCAACAAAAGAGTACCGAAACAGAGCTATAACAACCTTAAATGAATATTTAAGAACACCATATTATACCAAATATAAAAATTACTTAGGATTAACAATACAAAGTCAACCATTGTAGTCCTTTATCACTTCTTAAGTCAATTTCCCTTTCCTTTCTCTTTTTTTTCGTTTGTTGGGTTTCTCGTTGTCGTTTATTGTGTGTGCCCAGTCTGTTTTTACAAATTTTTTTCATGTTTTTGTTTCAAAATTTTTTTTATTTTTAACCTTTTTTTTTTGTTTTGTTTGGAGCTGTTTTTTTTTTTATGTATATTGCGATTCTAAGGACATTTATGGCAAAAAACACAAAAAAAAAGTAATGAAAACAAAAAATAATACTCTCATTCGTGAGAAGTTAATAAAAAACGAACTCAGCTATTTTAATATTTTTTTCTTCCTGTATTTTATTTAAGGATTTTTTTTTATATATATGGTCCTTTAGAATTCGAGACATACGAGAAACTATTAATTCGACAAATGCAAGAACCAATGTAAAAAACGGGGAATATAAACAAATTGCATATTTGAATAAATTGGAAAAAATAAAAAATTTTTGAATAAAGTTAATTTAAGACTACATACTGCACAAGCTGTGCTAGTGGACCTGAAATAAGTCTAAAGGTACTCTTTAAAAATTTTAATGACATCCGAGGTGATTATTATCAAAACAAAAAAGATAACAGCACTAATCCGCACACAATATAATCAAATTAATCAAAAGCGTATATCTTGTGTATAGCTAATGTAGTCAGTGTGATTTTTTTTAAAAAAGAAACTCTATTTTCTAATCCACTATACTTGTGTGTTAATCTTAAACTGACATAGTTCTTTTAAAAGGCAAACCGATTTAGGAACAAATTGAAAAATTTCAGTTAAAAACCAACAGCTTTAATAAAAAACACCTACAAAATTAAGAGTACAAAAGACAATGTAACTCAAATTCTCATATTAGAAAATGAAAACAGAATACATGATTTTTGGTTCAAAGGATATTTTATAGCAACAATTTGTATATTCCAGCTTAGCAATGAATTCTATATTATAAATTATATTCTATTGTACAAGACTAGAAGGGAAAGATATCAGTTTACAAAGGCTACAAGTGCATAAAAAGAAAATATTACAAAAAAAATTTTTAAAACAAAAAGTTCAAATAACGAAAAAACAACAAAAGAGTTCAAGACCTAAGGCTATCAAAAATATACATGCATAAATTTCTAAGTATAAATTTTGCATACACATTTTTGTTTTTTTATTTTCTTCTATATTGTTATAGATAACCGGCTGACATTCAAGATTGTCAACTTGTCGTAAATCATTTTCTCATTTAACAAGTGTCCATTCTTTCTGACCAAAGATTACTTTTATGCCATTTCTTGGAATAAAAAAATAATTTGTGTTTATTTTTTTTTTCTATATTAAAATTATGGTCTTTCATGTTTTTAGCAAATTATTTATGGGGGCGGGGGTGTCTGTTTTCTATATACATTACTAAATACCATTGTATAGAGTCTCATAAGTTAATATGTGTAGACACAGTGTTAACGGCTCAACTGTTTCCGAATTACGGAGACTTAAGTCGGCTCTTCTTTTTAGCTTTTCATTAGGTATTATTCCTTTCCTGTGTGACATAGACGCATGGTTAAATTTGATTTCGAAATTTCAGAAAAATGATTTCCAAAGGAATATCTCTCTATAATCTTTCCAAATTTCAGACACACAAGACCAGTAATTAATGTTCGAAAATTTTGAATTCTTAACTTTTATGTTTAATTTTCTGGTGATGCAAAATTGTAGCTTTCTTTCGCACATTTGCCATTTTTATGAACTGACTTTAATTTTGGTATGTCAATCATTTTCCGGTTCCTACATGCTACGGTTTGGGAGCTATTAAGGAAAACTAATTATTAATCACAGTTATTTAAAAAAAAACTGCACTAACCGTTTAAAATAGAGTTCCTCTTCTGTTATGCAAATATTCAACTAACGAACTTAGATTCTTGAGGGTTTGCGTAAATTGAGGGCACGGGAAGATAAATGTGTTATCTTTAATAGATACTGGGAATCTGTTGAAATGGAGAGATTGTCTCCGAACAAAACATTTATACTTTCACTTGAGGATACACATAATATGTATGCATGTATGTGTAACAGCATAACAACACATTTGGAAAGCACAAGCTCTGTAGGATTGTACATAGTTTTGGCATGCTTATAGTAATACAACATTATACCTTATACTGTGTCTATACTTTGTTATGAAAGGAAACAATAGTGTAAAATATTATTTTGTATAAACAATTACAATAACGTAAGTAATCACGTAAATATTTTAATAAAATTATGTGATTTACTTAATAGGGAATTTAATTCAATAAATTTATTATAAAATTAATTAGTTAATTAAGAAAATTATTTTCAATCCAAGGTAAGGTCTCACTGTTTCGAAATTTTCTAATATCTACTACGTCTACATAAATTAACTTATTTCTAATTATACTTAGCCATAGTAATTTCTATCGTGAATTAAATTTGCAATACAATACAATTTTTAAATTCAATTTAGACAAAATAAAATCATAATTTTACTTAAAGCCAAAGATTAAGACAAGAGGAAGAGTATTTATTGAAACTCTACAAAGTAAAAAATAGAAAATCTTGTAAAATCTTTAATAAATTTACGAAAATTATTTACGATCTGGTTTTTTTTTTTTTGCTTTTTGAAAATTTGATTTATTTGACAAAAAAAAAATTTTAAAAATCAAAAGTTTTCAATCAAGTTTGTTGGTCTTAAACTTTTAGAATTATGAATAAAAAGATTTTTTCATAACACCTTCCGAGTTAACACCGCCGTCCCGTAATCATATTCAATATTAAATTTTGAAAGAAAAAATTAGAAACTTTTAAAAAATTTTCAAAAAAACTTTCGTCCCCCCCGTTAATTTATTATAACTTTTTTCTTTGAAAATATTCTGGTGTTTTTTCCCTCACCTACTCTTTATATAAGTACATAATATGTAGCTTTATATATGTAGCCCTTTGACAAACTTTTTCTGTCACTTATAATAACGATATTAGAGTTACGATATTAGAGTTTAAGATATCTTTTATGATTTTTTTTCTCACTTCTAGGTACCACAACCCGGATTCTTTTTTCATCTTATTACGTAGATATGTACGAAATTTTCATCCTTTTACAAGTTTAGAAGTTCATGATGATAATAAGTTCCTTCCTTTTCCTTCTCTTTTATTCTGTTGATAAAATTTATGAAAAATTTTCTTTCTATGAGTTTAAGGTATAGGAGCACTAGTAATAATTTTATTTGTGCATAATAATATATAATATTACAAGTACTTGTATGTATATAATATGTATAATAATAAAGTTAATGGATCAACTAAATTTAGGGACAGATTTTCACATCAAATATTTTTCAGTACAAAATGGCTAGGTAAGAGTTAAAGAGTAAACTTTTTCTTTAATATTTATGAATATTTTTTCTTCTTTTTGTAAGGATATAAGAGAAAAATTTATTATAAAGAACCTTACCTCATTGGTATTCCAACGATGACGTTGCGTGGGAAAATGGTCAGCACGTGGTAAGCTTTCTAAATTATCTGGAAGTTTTATTGGTTCACCATCTGTAACAAATATAATAATAATGAGTAAGAAAATAGAATTTTCTCTTAATGAAATATAAAAATTATTATATTATTAAATGTAAAATAGAAAATTATAATAAATTAAAAAAAATGAAATAAGTAAATTGCATTATCTTACACTTGCAATCTACTCATATACATGGACAGAGTATTTTAAAGATTATTCAAGATTTTTAAATAAACATTACCATAGATATTAAAATAGATCATAGAAATGATTGATTATTGACTGAAAATTATTTCATTATATTTCAGGATTTGTGATAACCGTAAGAAAATTATTGATGCCATTTTGTATAACAGTTCTATAAAAAAACTACATGGAATATGATTACTGGTATACGATTGTTTTATATAAAAGCAAATACCAAAAATTAAGACAACCATTCAATGAACGGTGACATTTTAAAGATATTGAAAATTTTTATTAAAATTGCAAGTGTAAAATGATTCAAAGTTACTTAAATGTCAGATTTGTCAAATGTCAAATGATAGATGTCAAATGCCAAACGAGAAATCCTAAATCTCTATATTTAAATATAAGCCTAAAAAGTTAAGGAACCAATTGGACGAATGGTGATATTTAAACTAATAAGATTATATTGAAAATTTTTATTAAAATGTCAAATGTCAAGTGAGTCTTAAGTCTCAAATGTCAAATATTAAGTATCGAATATCTATATTCAAATACAAGCCAAAAAAAAATAAAGTGATATTTGAAATTTACTTGATATTCATACGAGGCAATAAAGTTAAAAAAATTTATAAAATCATAATGACATTTGACACTTGTCAATTATTGCAAATCTATAAGTGAATTTACATTATATTTAAGAATTGCTCATAAAACTAACTTTACATACAATATTTAAATTTAAACAAAATATATTCCTGGAAATCTTAAATAATTTTCCACCCTTTACATATGACACAGCAAATTAAAAAAAAAAAAATAATTTCATTGTAAAAAAAAATAAAAAAAGAAAGAAGAAATCAGCAACAGGACGCCAAAAAATTTATCTATAGACAAAGAAAATAAACAAGTACATTGTATGTACATACACTTGAAAGAAAAAATGATTTTATAAGATTTGTGCAATTTGCCGGTTCCTCTTTCTCTATTAAAACACTAAAATTAATTCGAAAATAAGAGGAGAAACAAAAAAAAGAGTCACTGAAAGATAAAGTTTATAAATCAAATAATAGTAGCTTTCCAGCCGAGAGATATGATGTGAATCACATTTGTATTTGTATACATTTTTGTTTTCTGTTTTTATTGTTTTTGTTTTCCTTTTTTTTTTAATAAAAATAACTCTTAGCTAAATTTATTGTTTTTGCCAGTTGTTCTTTTTTTTTTTACCACATCATATAAGAATTTTATCTATGATTTAAAATTATTTTAGTTTATTGTGAATGTGTATAGAATGTATAGATAAAGTATAGAATTACATCTACAATTCGTGCATACTTTTAGGATTTGATGTTTATAATATACAAAATTCATGAATTAAGAGTTGCTTAAAACACTTGCTTTATAAATTTCAATGCTGCTATTGGAATGCCTGCTATTACATGAAAAATTTGTAATTTTTGAATGAAACTTCGTTTCACTCAATTTCACTCAAATTTACTCACAAAAATCACTCAAATTCCAATATAAGTCAGAACAATGAATTTGAGTGCCAAAATTTAAACAATAATATAAATTTGACAGTAACATTAAAATAGCTTGTAAAAATTTGTTATTAAAAATTAATAATTATTAAAAACCGATCTCAAAAATTATTATAAATTTTGTTGTCAGAAAATGTCCCATAGTTAGCAGGTTACAATGAATTTTGTATTGTTTATTATTGTTATCATTTTAGATTTCTTTTTTTTCTCATGGTTTGTTTTTCTTCTTGTTCATTTTGGTCATACATTTTATTACTTCATAGATTTAAATCTCATATAGACGCGACACCCTATTTTTCTCTTATACTCGTATTCTACAAAATACAAAAATGTACATGCAATTTTTTTCTTCTTATATTTTAATTTATTTTGATATTTTTATTATTTTTATTGTATTTTATCCTTGTATTGTAAAATTTTTTTTTAAAGGGGCTAATTTAGACATTAAATTATTATATTTTGTACTACTACAAGTACTTGTAATTTTTTTTTTTTTGCTTGTTTTTTTTTCTTGTATCACTTAATTATTAAAAGGCGACAATTAAAAATGAAAATTAAACTTACCGTATGCATTATTTCGAAAGACAAAATCTTAAAATTATTGGATTTACTTATAGAAGTTTATGGAAAAAATTTGAAGTTAATTACATTTTACAGCTTACTGTCGTAGCTTGTAACTAACAAAAAATTATGTATATTCCTCGAAATTTCATTCAAAACGTTCTGTCGGCCGTATCATAGCGTATTGTATACTTTTAAGAAAAATTTCAAAAAACTAATTTTTGAAGAAACTTTTATATCTATGTACAAGAAACATTGATCTAGTTATTGTAGAGTGGCATACAGTTCGTCCAAAAAGGGCATACACCAAAGTGCACAAAAATGTACATTTTGCACTGGAAAAATGCCTCTCACAACCACTAAATGTGCACATTCCAAGAGTAGAGACCTCTTTCAAAAATAAGGCCATCTTCATACAAAAAAAAAACAACACTCATGGCTTTTCAACAAAATAAGTCCTTAATATTCAAATCCTCTCATTTTTTCCCCTTTCATGTTATTAAATTAGAAAATGGAATAAAAAAATATATGTATATGTAATTCTAATATTAGTAGTAGTAGTATATAAAAATTTGAATGATCGCGCGGGGTTAAAATTTAACAATTCGGACTAAAAAATAATTATAATTTCTAGATAAATTTTAAATTTGTTATCTTTAAATTTCACCAAATTAAAAGAAATTACTAAAAAATCGATAACTTAAGCCCAAATCCCGATTAGTAGGTTACAAAATTTTTTAGTATGTTTCAAAAAAAAGTCATTATATTACTAATTTCATTGTAGCCCGAAGCTTTAATTCAACACTCGAAATAATGATCTTCGCGTAAAAAACTATGAGTATCCTTTTCGTGTTCTAAATTTTTTCGTTTAAATAATAAAAATTTTTTAGATAAATTTTATAAAAATAGTAAAGTATTTAAGTTCTGTTTTTGCTTTCCTTCTATCATCATTCATTTTCTTTAACATAAAGGAAAAAAAAAAATGCCACGTTTTTCTTCCTATAGCGCTTTCCTTTCTAGCCATTTATTTCATTTCTATGTAATTCATATAATTTTTTTTTTTTTACAATATTTTGCCGTTCCATTGAACAAATTAGAAAGGAACAGAATATAGAATGGAACAACAAGGACCAAATATTTGTTTCCTTTTTCCTTTCTTGTCTTTTTCTGTGTTTCGCTTAACTTTATACTTGTAAAACTTCCTTTTAACGCCTTAAAACATGATCATATTTATAAATTTTTATTTACTTTTCCTTAATTTTGTCCTTTTTTTTCTTTCTCGTTTTTATTTTTTTGTAAAATAATTCTTAAATATTAAACGGTGGTCATGGGTTGGTCAAAAGAGTCAAAAAAGTGTTAAAGGAGTGCAAAGTAAAAAAAAAAAACTAAATACAATTTTTGTTTTAAAATAATGTTGAAACAGATTAAGAATAAACTTTTATAACTGTTAAAAAGGTTATAAACTGTAAATAACAAGAAGAGAAGAAAAAAAGGCAGTTATATTTTTGTTATATAGAAAACTTCATGCTCCTTTTTTGCTCAAAACAATTTTTTTTTAGAAAAATTATGAAAATCTGATAAAACGAAAAATATTTCGTCCTTTTTGTTGTTTTTTTTTTGGTTTTTCGCTTTTTCTAAGTAAAATTTCCAAAAAAAACTTCACTAATTGTTTGCCAAAATATTCTAAGAGTGACTTTATTTTCTTAATAATGGAAAATTTTTTAGACTTTTGAAGAAAATTATTATGATTTTTTTTTGTTAATTGTCTAAAAGAGTCAAAGAGTCAAAGAGTTTAAATTTAATATAGAAATAAACTTTTTGACTTTTTATTTATCTAAAAAATTATGACAAACAATTTGTCAAATTTTCTAACTTTTCGAATATTTTTTTAAATCATTTTTGAATTTATTTTGATTAAAAATTATTCTTTTGGAAAATGGAAATTCTCTTTGCAATTAAGAAATCCTTGTAATCATATAATGAAGATTATCTTGATTTCAACGCAATGTCTACAAGTAGAAAAAAATTTATATAACATTTACGATAATAAGCATTCTCATCAACTTATTGAATTTAAAATTTAAATAAAATTTATTAATTAAATGAATTTAACGTTATTTTAAGGATATCAAGAATTTTCGGTTCAATATTGGTTTCACATTGCATAAAATCCTTTTGCTGACTTTGAATTTATTACAGCCGAAATTTCAGTTTTTCAACTCTTATTATTACGAATCGAACTGCATAAGTTATGTGAAGCCATCAAATTTCACATGCGAAGTTTTCGACGTTTTTCTATGCTAGGGAAGAGTAGAGTAATTAAAATGGTTGTAGAGAAATGTCTGTCTGTCAGTTTTTCAGTCTGTCTGTGCAGATCAGTATCTCAAATAGTTTAGCTAAACTGATTTTATACCAAAAATTTATATCTGAGTTTACTTTAGGAATGAAACGGTTTGATCAACTCATTGGATATATCAGATCTTCCGGACCGATCCGATTCTACTTTTTAACTATTTTTAAAGACCGATTCAACCGATTAAAGTGAAATTTACATAGCATATAATTTTGGCATATAAAATTGACGACAGTATACAAGAGACTATACATAACTTTTGGAGAATATCAAAGCACAGAAATTGAAGTTTCACTATAGGGGTCGATTTCATATTTTTAACCGTATCTAAGTAACTATTTGTTTTTGAAATCTCTAAATAACAGCTAAAATAACGTTTTTCTATGTATAT